AGAGAGAGAGAGAGAGAGAGAGAGAGAGAGAGAGAGAGAGAGAGTGATCTCCGTTGTTGCAATCTGAGGATCCCGGCCATGGATTGCAAAATTGCAGCTGGGACTTGCAAGCCATGGCTGCTAAAATAGGGGATTCAGGTTTTGCAGGGGGTGAGGAATTTAAGCAACAGGTTTTGGGATTATTTTAAGAAGCAGAGTTCATTGATGGGGAAAGTGTGTGATAGAGAGTCAAGCAAGTGGGTTGGGTGGAATGCGGAGAGAGCGAGAGATTCTGTAGGTTATTGATTTGTTGTTGGTTCCTGTTAGGGTGGAGTCGTGGAGCATCGATGGTTGAGAAAGTTTAAGTGAGAAAAAAAGAGGTAGGGACTGTTTCTAGATAAGTTTTGGTTTTGGAGTGAGTTTGTAGAGAGAGAAACAGAGAGAGCGGGTAGAGAGAGAAAGAGAGAGGGTGGGTGGAGAGACAAAGATAGATATTTAATGGTGAGCGAGAGAAAATAAGAGAGATTTCGGGTAGAGAGGAGATGGCTATTGATAAGGGTAGTTTAATCCAAATATTTTGACTTTTTGACTCGGGGTAAAGCAAGAAAAAATAATGACCGGGGGGTTGGTGTGATATTAAAAATATTGAAGTTGGATGTCTACGCAGTTCATTTTAGGGGGTATCTATAATTTTCCTTTTATTTTAATGCATTTTTCCCTTTTCTCCTTAGTCTTCATTTTAGTGCTTGATATAGTTCCATGAGAAGGAACTCAGAGAGAGAAAGTACCTCGTTCTTAGAAGTTTCTTCGAGAGAGGGATGGATTGTTTTGCATTGCTTCCTTCGGTGCAATGCTCCCCCTTTTTTTCTTCTTATTCATTCTACTGGGTTGTCAGCCATGAAAGATGTCGAGCCTCGGCGAACGGCGATCTTGATACCCTAAGATCATGCATAAGAAAACTAAACTTGTAGAAAGTTTCCTGTATCTCTACATGTCCAAGATATTGAATTGCATATTATACTGATTATATGGTGCTCAAGTTGAGGCATTGTGAATGTCAGATCGATTATTGTTTAAGGGCATTTTACTTACAGATGGGGTCTGGGATCGGTTTTTGGCCTGCTGAAACTGTTTCTGTATAGAGAGAGAGACCATTAGCTAGGCACTTGAGTGAAGTTTTCTTTCTTGCAGCCCTGGATTGTGTGTGCAATCTCAGCTTGTGGGGAAGAAAGAAATGGAAATGTTATTTTTTATTGACTAAGTGAAAGATATGGAATTGTGTGTGCAATCTCAGAGCGTTTATCTCCCAACACATCATATGTCATCTTAAAGATAGATGTAGAATTGTGGTCGCTCAAAACATAGCTAAATTCAACCGTTAAAATGTTTATTTTGAAAATTTATTATTTTAATTTTTAAAATTTTATTTTACTTTATTTTTACGTATTCATTTATATGTTACAAGTTAAAAAAACATAAAACATTAGGTCCAAAATCCATCTAAAAATGGATAACGAAGAGGGTATGCATTTCCACCTCAAAAAAACCTTAGTATTTTATAATGACGTGATTTTAAATAAATATAAAACAAAATTTATATTGATTTTTTTTTATTTTAAAAAAACTCATAGTAAGGGTTTTTTTTTATCTATGTTGTCAAATGTTCCAAAAGTAGGTACATAATAAATAAGGAAAAAATCTTGTGAGGTTGTAACCTAATAATATTAAAATAAAGTGCAGGGAAAATATCCTCTAGAAGAAAGTGTTATAATGTTGGAGAACCCTTAAATTGATCATCATGATTTTAGGATGTCTGAATATGAAGAAAAAATTATAAACTCCTAAAAAAATTGTCAATTTGTAACAAGTTATCTAGACTATCTATTTTCAAGAAATTCAAATATTTATATCTATTAGTTTTGTATCATTTTTTAAACTTATAATTTTATAACTAGCGATAAAAATATATTTTCAAGCCATCATAAGTTTTCTCATCTCCAAGCCAATTCTAGAGGCACACCTTACTGCAACAGTATAAGGAAAACACATATACAAAGCTAACTCAATAAGAGTTCATTCAAATTTTAAAATTACAAATATACGAGTTAAACCCTATAATCTAAAGCCATTATGAAGGTCGAGGAGACTCAAACTTATCTTGAGCATGTCATCCTTATAAATCCTTGAGCAAATTCCCAAGGGATTGTTTACTATGATATCATTTACCGTTGTTATCTACATTGAGTAAAATTTTCAAAAAAAGAAAATAATAATTTCCATTAACCATTTTTAAACTATGGAATTTATCTAAAATGTAGAAGGGTTACTGAAATTTAATAAGCATAAAAAATTTACATATTCACCATCATCATTTGAGTTTTATCTCGATTATTTGGAGTCAGTTTCATTTTTGCATCCACTATGGAGTGTAGAAAATTACCTTTGGAACAGCTGGTAGAATTATTTGCGTTTAATTTGTATAGAATTCTCTTCACCTTCAAACATGTAATGATTGTCTGCATGTTTCTCCACAGCTTTCTTGAACTTGTTACTCAACATTGCCTCTATGAAGAGGGCCCGTCTGAATACCATGTTCAAGAAAGCCTGTGGAAAGCATGAAGACCTCAAATCTTTAATCTTCCAAACTTTCCAAAGAAAAACTCAGACTACAGAGTGATCCAAGTTTTATGAAATTTTATAGAGAGAGAGAGCTTCATCAACTTTTGGAGAGAGAAAATGATGGGAATGGAAGAGGGCATGCAGGCCTATTTATACACATCGAGGGTAGCCATAACCACCTGCATAATCACGTAAGACCCGAGCCATTAACAAACCTATTACCCTCATGGCGGAAGTTGTGATAACTGCCACCAACCTAGTCAGTAGACTTTTTGGAGGGAGCGGGTTCTCAGTTGACTGAGCATAGCGTTCTCCTGCTGGAGCATACTGTATATTTAATCCTTAGAGCAAAAGATGTAGAGAATCCAACCATGTAGTTGGAATTGATAAACAAAAGTTTTCCAGGGGAGTATTTCCACATGTCAGGACGTGTGGTTTCATTTTACCATGAATCGGCCATTTCATGGGAAAATATTTTACCAGGGTAATTTCTTTGCATATGTATTTGAAAAACCCCATATGTGAAATAGAATTTACATATATAAATATTTTATGTGGGATATTTACGCGCAAACCACCGTATCTTAAAAGTGAGCGTTATGCTCTCTCAAGAGCATAGTTTACTTCTACTCCCTCTGTCAAATGACCCACTTGGAGGGATATTTTTGGTCTGAAATTTTGGTAACCACGAATATTGGATAAAAGAAAAAAAGGAATTTGAGTTTTCTTACACTTGAATCTCACCCTCTAAATTTTGGACCGTTTCTTTTCTAGTGCTTAGAGTACCCTCTAAATTTTGGACCGTTTCTTTTCTAGTGCTTAGAGTGCGAATTAAGAATTTTTTTTTATTGAGGCTAATCTATAGTTAAAGAGGTTATATCCCCAGAACTTGGGGTCCTAAAACTGATCCTAGGTAAAATTTTATCTGAGCGAGTAAATGAACCATATACTCTTGAGTGAGTAGAATATCTTTTGGCATTTACTAATCCACTTTAAAAGCACTAGACAAGAAGTTTTAGTAGGACAGTTAACGGGCCACGACACGGTTTTCGCCCTATGTTAAGACATGCGAATGGGATAGGCCCAAGATTGGTAGGCCCGAAATATTTTCCGGTCCCGGGCCCAATATTTGTATGTTTTACAAATAATAAACAAATTTTTCCCCATATTTTTATGGGGCCTAAGTCCGGTTCGGGTCTAGCAATTATGAATTCAGCCCGTGCCTGGCCTACCATACAGTGTTTCGAGGACGGGCTTGAGTCAATTTTGGCTTGCCCTAAACCGGCTTATTAACAACCCTAGTTTTGAGTAAAAACTTAATTTTGATTTCTCGGATTTGATTGTTAAAAAAATCAAACAATCTATGTTCTCACATCACGGTACTATTTTTGTCAAACACATATTCCATCTTTTTCAGTCGCTAAGTTGGATAGGCGACGATCCTCAAATTTTGGAAGCACAATTGTTTCCTGGGGGCTGGGCCGCATTTCTGCAATACACGGTCAAGAGGTATAACGTATCCATCTTAAAGATGGATGTAAATAGGTAGTCCATCTAAAAACAATTGTTACTAACGTCCAAATGTTTTTTTAATATAATTATTATTTCTAATTTTTAAATTTTATTTAATTTTTCATATTCATGATCTCCATGTTAAAGATTATATATTCGCTAAAAATTATGATCAAATTATATTTAAAAATATATATTTATTGCCAAGCCCGTACTTTTACAATATGTGGTCTTGCAAGATGCTAACCGCATCCATTTTAGAATTCTAAAAATACTCCTACGAGGCTTCGATGTAAAATAGACTCCTATACAATTTTTGGGGTGTTTTGGTGCTAAGAGTATACCATAGAAACATATGCAAAAGCATGTATATTACAAAAAAACATATATTAATACAAAGAAATTGAGAGTTTTTCCTATATTTCCCAATTCAATTTTATTGGTGGTCACGGGCATTCCAATTGTAATCACGATCTTATAGAAGTCTATACTGGATAAATCTTCCATGCATGGTACCCAAATCCAATGATGCGTGATTTTTGGCTATGTAAGGTTAATTTTAAGGGAAAGTAACCTAAATACCTCTTTATTTTTGCTATATTAAAAAATGCTCTAAAATTGTTTAATTTCTGTTTGTCCTTTCTTTTTCCTTATTTTTATTCTACCCCGAAATGGTCTTGGTTCATACCTACTTCTTTCCCATTTTGGAACTGGGAACTAAGCTAAAAAAAAGAAAAAGCATAGGAACTTGGAATTCCAACCGAGAGCATCTTGAAAAATATTTAAAATAAGGAAAAATGGACATGCCCACAAAACTGAAAATTTGCATGATATTTTTTAATATTGCAAAAAATAATGAGACAATAAAATTAATTTCATAGATTTCAATACTTAGCAGTAGATTTATGTGCTGAGAGTTAAAATAATAATAAAACATTCAAAGAACAAAAGAAGTTAATACAGTTATAATATAAATGAAAGTAGAGGTGAAAGACAAAAATAATTAAAGAATAAAAGAAATAAAAAACGCAACTTTAATATACTTATCTAATGTTAGATGGAACTTAAAATATCATTATTTTTACATCTCAAAAAATATATTAAAATATGGAAAAAGTTTATGTAAGGATGCAACCTTATAATGTAGAACTACGGATACACCTCAAAAATTCATCGGAAAAGGTCGTTTTAATGTTGAAAAGCCCTTTGATTGATCATCTTGACATCAAGATGCATGATCATATAAAAATAAAAAGATTTTCAGTCTCAGAAAAAGATTTTAAGCCTCAAGAATAGTACATTTTACAACATATTATCTACACCGTCCATTTTCAATATTTTCATATGTTTAAAGATCTACTTGATTTTAACTATTTTTGAAATTTAAAATTCTATAATTAGATCTAAAAATAGAATATGAGATAATCCTAAGAACATTTTACATCAAATTTATATACCATGATAAAATTTGAAGGTGCACCTTACCTCTACACCTACGGATGCATTCATATGCCAACTGCACCCTTAAAATATTTGAGTTGCAAGCATTTGGAATTTTATTGTGAAATTTTCTGAAATTGACCAGATATGAAATTGGATGGCTTGATTTATTCCATTGATCAAGCTCGAATTTCAAAATAAAAAAGCTCAAACTTTGTGATGCACTTGAGCTATCAAAATTTACATCAGATGGTCATAAACAATGTTCTCAGATTCGCTTTGAGGTCTTCTTCGATTTGGTGAGAAAAATGAAGCAATTCGGTGCTTCGACCGATTCGAAGGAAGACTTCGAACTTTTTGTTAATTTAATATAAATAAATTCCATATTTATATATATAATACATAAAAATAATAGAAAAATAAAAAAATTAAAATAAAATTAAAATTAAAAAAAATACTTTTATATAGGTATTTCTTTTCTGACTGAAGCAAGTCCAAAGTGGCCTGAATCTGACAGAAGTAACATCACCGTGTTTCTCTCCGTATCAGTTTATGCTTAAAAAAGCGAAACTAATTTGATAACATTGGTTATAAATAATTGTGACCTCTCTTATATAAATGGTCTTATTGTATACCGTCCCTATTTTTAAAATATGTAAACTTCTTATTGCTTACAATCCCTATTTTCAGAACATGTAAATTTTGCTAAGCAACAACCGCAGCTTTTATATTTTAAAATATCTTGAAAAAGGAAAATGTATAATAATAAAAATTGAAGGCATTAAATTTACAAATATAAGATGCCTCAAACTATTTTACTACTTTTGAAGTATATATATTATTCTATTTGGGACACGGTTTAGCTCGAATCAAATATGGAAAAAATTTGGCTAATAAGAAAACTTCTACTTAAAATTATAAAGTATTCAATAAATTAAAAAGAAATAAAGTATGTTTCCCTTTTTGTAATATATAATAAACTTAAAAACATTTGAAAATTTGTAATAAATTTTTTGAAATTAGTCATTTGTAAATTAAAGATTTGTATGCCACTTTGGAACAGTTATAATTTTCTTAATAACTCAATTCATAATAGAAAATTTTAAGAATCTTGAAAGGGAAAATATGGAAATGAATTTTAAAGAAATTAAAATATCTAAAATAACAGTGATACTTAATGAAAAATCCCAAAAAAGATTGTTATCTGAAATACAACTTTTTCTATTTTCTAGGAAATAATTGGAATGAAAAATTTTTTTATTCTAGAAATATCTGCAAATAAAAAGGTGTTTGAGTAAAAAAAAAAAAGATGGTTTCCTTATACCTATTTTATAAGAAAATCCAGGAGTGATTTTTTGGAGCATTCGAAATTTGTTAAAATAAAATAAAAAATTTCAAAAATTCAGAAATTCAAAAAAAAAATGAGATATGTATTCTATTTTTACCTTATTCCAAAGGAAGGCATTGGAAAAGAAAGAAAGGAAAATTACAAAAAAAAAAAAAAAGCAAAACAGAAATACACTTTCTATGCAACTTACCCCAACCTAACTTTCCAAAATACACTTTATATGCAAATACCCCAAACAAAAAAAATGCTTGTCCATCTATCCCTTACTTTTACCTTACTCACGTCTATCCCTTACTTTTTACCTTACCCCTTACTTTTTACCTTACGCACGCCTCTCTTTCGTCTATCCCACCAAAATAGGGGCTCCTGCACCCGGTAGTAGGGTTCTTGCACTATGTAAAGTGCGGTCACGCACGCCTATCTTTCATCTATCCCACCAAAATAGGGGCTCCTGCACCCGGTAGTAGGGTTCTTGCACTATATAAAGTGCGGTCCAGTAGTAGGGTTCCTACACTATGTAAAGTGCAGTTTGGCAGTAAGGCTCCAACACTATGTAAAGTGCAGTTTGGCAGGAAGGCTCCAACACTATGTAAAATGTAGTCCGGTCCGACAGTAGGGCTCTGGCACTATGTAAAATGCC